CAAGGAAGGGAAAAAGTATTAGAGGAAGGGAAAGATTATATTCTCATTAACTCTCTAGTCTGTGGAGCAAGATTTGTTTCTAGAATGAAATAGGAGTTTTTCAGGAGGATCATTTCACTCATATTGATGCCAGATAGTAGACAACAGCTAAGGAAAGGGCCTCAGCTAAAACCTAAATACACATGCAAAATTCCTGAGCCATTTCTGCTTACGTCAAGAATCCTTCTGGAATAAGAGAAGAAAAAATTTGAGAATTAAAATAATTTAGAAATTCTGAATATATTTCTGTTCACCTGCCTGTTTTTCTCAGGGAGGAATACATGTCCCTGAAAAGGTCATACTTTCAGGATGGCTTTGTTTGGCAGACAAAGTTGAAGTTCTAATAAATCAACATTTTGTTTCCTTTTAATTTAGGAAATTAAAATGATATTTTATCTTTTTCGAAATATTTTTCAACATACTTTATTTTATCAAGTATATTTTATTTTTTTCACATTTATATTTTATCTTTTCCACATAAGACAGGCATGCAGACAACCAGAAGGATGTTTTCTTAGGTAGGAAATTACTGAATATTAGGGAGGGCCTGTTTGTTACTGCCCATTCCCTTTCCCCTGTTCCTTCAAAGAAATGGGTTTCATGGGAAACAAATAGCATGAAATAATCTAATTTAATGAGATTGCAGTGTGCATGCACTAGTTTCTTGTTCTAAACTCTAAAGCAATTTTCTCATTACCTGCCTTGCCCAATGTTTCATAGTGTCTTGAATGTGATTTATTCTGTTCAGATGTTATCTAGGAGTGGTGCAAACACAAAGTGAGACTGGCCTGAGAGACTGTGAGAGTTTGGACCCTGGACCCATCCTCACTTACTGGTTCACATCCTGCTTTAATTCAGTGGCAGCTGTCAGCACTAGGTACTAGTACTATCACAGGTTTCTGAAGTGTAGCACTAGAAAATGAGAAATTGCTCTATTTGTAGCCACTGCTCTCTTAACATCTTGATTCCCAGCCTGTGTCTGTGACAGAAATGAGTTCTTTTTCATGGCTGAATGAATTGTGTAAACCACAGCAGCATCCTTCTGCTAGGCTTATTACCAACACATTTCAAAATGTGTAAAACAGTGTAGCATATTTGTCTGGGATTATGAACTTTCTGAACTATATTGCCAGACCATCACATGATACAAGCTCAGAAGAGCTAGGGAGCATCATGTGATATAATCTCAGTAGAAGTAGGTGTTCTTTACATAAAACAGAATAAAATGAGTGTGAAAATGCCCAAGAAGATTATAATGTGAAAAAAAAAAGTGGTAGAAACTGAGGATAATGCTCCCCCTGCCCCTGAATTTCATTTCAGAAGACCAATTCCTAGTGGCCAAAGAGAGGACTTTCTTCCCAGGTTTTTTTGTTGAAGTGAAATGGGGAGATTTTTTTGTCTGATGGCCAAACTCTGCTTCCAGATGATGGAGATCCACATCCTTGTCTGGTCAACTGGAGGGCCTGAAGCAGTCTCTGAGATACTCTTGGGAAATGTCACGTGCTTTAAGGCTGGTTTTTACCTGTGGGTCCGCAAGCTTTACTTTCTGGCTTGAGCTTGTGGAAGTTGCAGCGCAGGATCATAGAAGACGTCCCATAGAAAATGAAATTGCATTACATTTTCAGTCATTTATAAAGCAGTGTGCAGCAGATCCGCAAGTAGTTTATTTTCTTTAACTTATGGGTGTATCTCTGGAAGGAAACACATGTTTCTCCTCATGGTCAAGTCCTGGAAGTTGCAGTTTAAATTTGATGAAGTGTTTTATTCCCCCAGATAAAAACAAATAAATAAAAAATTAGATTTAAGTGCATTTGTTGATGAGGAAAGTCAGGAATCCTCCTAATTAAGACATTTCTTAGAAAAGTAAAATTTTTATCTGGGAGCATAAAACACTTCATCAGTTTTAAAGCCACATCTGCAAGGAGTGGATAAAGAGGAGAAACAGGCACTTTTCTTCATTCTGGCTTGTCTGTGAGTTTAAGACTTTTAACAACAGTTTTAAAAATATTTAAACCCAGTTAGAAACACTTGCAATATAATAGGGATAAAAGTGCCCTCCCTCCCTCTGTTTTTAATCTGGTTCTCTTGATGGAATAAACTACAAGGTTGAATTGGTAACTGGATTATTGCCTCATAAAACAGCACGAGGTTACTATTATCCTTTAATTTTATATCTTTATTAGGGAGTAATATTGGTCTTATTTAAATCACTGACTTCTCTAATGGTTTTTCTCCCCTTTTACAAATTTATAAAACTAAACCCTAAAGGATTTGGTCTAAGTGCAATTGGCATAACTGCCATTATAAAAATCTTTGTGTTAGCAGTTGGTTATAATCAGCCGCTTTAAATGGGCTCAGAATGAAGCAGAATTTAGCTGTTGATAGGTAGAATAATACTGATAAAATATTATTTCTGAATTTTATTTCAACAAGCTCCATTTCCAGTAAGAACTTCTGAATTTTGAGGCAGTGTAAAGATGAACAGCAGTGCCATGGAAACGTATAATTTAGCATGTTCGTGCAAATGATGTATTAAACATATTTTGTATTTCTACAGAGATCTAAAGAAGCTTGTCTTTGTCTTGCAATTCAGTAAAGTAACTTTGAAAATTCATGAAAGTTAGTCTTTTTTAGAAGGCGACTGATACAAGTGGCTTATTTAATGATGTATTCCAGTGAATACACCCACCTGAATTTTGGGACACAACACATACTGTGGGTGAATCATTGGCAGTTCTTAGTAAAACTCCTGTTGGATTTGTGTCATCGGGATGGATTTAAAATTTTGATACACTTGTTTTTGGAAAAATGTGACATCCATTGGTTGATCTCAGAGTGCTTTGATTAAGCATCCATCAATAGGGAAAGAAATACAGGTCTGTATGTGCTGGTGTAGCTCTGTAGTTGAGTTATCATTGAGTTTTATACAGAAAGTGAAGTATTTGCCACCTTCAGTGACTGACTGACAGAATTAGAGCATTTGCTGTTTGAATGCAAGCCAGGTACTGACTTTTTAGTCAGTATACCTAGAAACTAGTAAAATAATGTCCCAAAAATTGTTTATTTTGATCATTTTTTTCTGAGAGTAATCTTACCAGTGAAATAACATGAACATACTACAAACTTTTAATTAAATCAAAGCAGATGTTAAGTTACTAATGGAATATTTTCATTTTAGTTAGAATCATCTCTGTGTTTGCAGTTGCCTCCTTTGGTTGGGACTGCTGCAGGCAATGCCATGTAGAGCTGCTTTCTTTTAAAATATCTGTTGTTAATGTCATTCTTCTTTCTGAAAATTGCCTGTAGTGTGTGTTTTAAAGAAGCCTCCTCTTTTAGCTTCATTGAACAAAGAGAAGATATTTACAAATAGAGGATTGTGGGCTCCACATTGACCAGAAAATCATTGGGAAGTGATTACAGTTTTGGTGAAGGCATTGTGGGGAAAGAGATCGATGAAATTGAGAGGAGACTAAAAACATTTTGAAAAGCATAAATTATTTTCAGCTGCATGATATGGTGAAATACATGTAACATGGTTTTCTTGAAATTTGTCTTTTCCTTATGTAACATCATGGCAAAAATTGGTGAAATGTGAATGAAAATAATTTTGAAACTTAGGGAAGAGGGAAGAAAGACAAGAGGGTGTCATTTGGTGGCAGGAAAAATCCAGGTGAAACTTGAAAGCAAAGTAGACTGGGGTGGTGCATTTGTGTGTGTTCTAGAAAATATCCAATGCAAAACAAAATGAATTTTTGGGAGTGACATTTTGGGGAATAAGTGGAGGTATGGCAAGTAAGTGGCACTTGAGATTTAGAGAGGAGTATTCATGGGGCAATACAGGGCAGTGGGTGAGAATATGTGGGTGCCATGGCTTGTTCCACGTAGGTTCCATGACTCTGGTTCCTTTCAAATATTCTGCAAGTGTCAATCCAGCTGTACATTTTTTACCCTTGTTGCATTTATTAGTGCTTGCTGGTCAGAATTTAAAACAGAGATCTATAATATGGTTATATTATTGAGCATAGTCCCAGGTTATTCCTTGTGGTGCCTTCTTCATAAACAAATGTAGGTAATATTGATAAGCAAATCCAGGATGTTTGGGTTCCTTAACATGTGTGTTTACATATTGTTTGATTTTTTAATGTAACATGAGCTTTGCTTAATAATATTATTCCATATATGAAATATCCATGCCACTTGTTTTTTGTTCTAAGTTATGCAAATTCGCATAACTTCAAAATGAATCTTTTCTGAGAATGCAGATTGTAATATAATTGTGTGGCTTTATAGTTAGGGTTACCATGATCATTCACAGGCAGAGCTCCTGGAAAATAGAATTTTCCTATTGAAGATCTCCATATTTCATGAGAATGATTCACCCTGTTAGAGAAGGTATAGACATAGCAGATAATTAAGATAATGTCTGTCATTTAGCACTTTGTAGGGAGCCGCTTGTTATAAACCACTTTGTGTATTTAATTTAATCCTAAAGGAATTTAATGAACCTTAGAGAGGAGACTTCATGCTGATAATTGCATAATAACCTATTTTTATGCCAGACACTTAATGGCTAAGAGGTTATCATTAAATGTGTATTAAGCAGTTCTGTTCAATAACTGTCTTTATAAGATATTCTCTCAAGGGGTTATCATTTGTTGACTACTTAAACAGCTGCCTGTATGCAACATTTTAGCTTCTTTATTGGTTTGTTTTCAGAGCTATTTTTTCTCTTGAAGGAGACAAAGAAAAGTCCCTGTTTCTGTTGGTATATTTTAGATAGTTGCCAAAATAATACTGAAAGTATTGAAGCACTTTACAAGAAAATAGTCTTCATTTGAGAACTTTGCTTCAGATTTTAGTGAAACTGCAACCTCAGTCAGGGTGTTTGTTTATTGCAGATTTATCTTAGAAGTGAGGACACAGACTAACATGTCGTTTTTTAATCTTCTCTTTTAATTTAGACCACTGAGCTGTAAATTGAAAGGAAGATAATTTCTGCTTGTGGAGGAAAAGAAAGGTGAATAACCTCAATGGAAGACTCTCAGGATCTAAGTGAACAGTCAGTAAGTACGAATGTTGCTAAATTGAATGGAATAAATTGAACTCTGTTCAACCAAGTTGTGTGAAAAGATTTTACTTTGGATTTGAAAATTATAGTAAGAGCTCTGGGGAATTCTTCCAAGCTCCTTGTTTTAAACCTTTTAGTTTGTACATTAAATGAGTGGTTTTAATATTTTTTCCTCGTTGAAAGGAACAAGATCTTTGTTATGTAAGATTTTGCGGAACTACAATTGCAGGAGGGATATAATTAAGCTGCATTGGAAGAATAAAATGTTATAAACATGCGCAGTGATATGCCTTGTTCAAATAATTGCATTAAAATGTATCTCCATGGTGGTCTGTCAGTTTTTCCAATTCAAGGGTTACAAAAACCAGAAACAAAATATTTCAAATGGTCAGACTGTGGCAGATGATATACAGTTGACATTTTTTCAGGATTGTCTTGGATTTCGAGGGGATTGTGAGAATTGGTAGTCTGTTCCCCTGTCCCATGTCAGAGACAGATTCTTCTTTTCACTGATGACATTTCTGGGAAAAATGAGGTGAACATTTCTTCTCATTTTTCTTTCTTATTTTTCGTTGCCTTTAAGGATATCATCTTCAGATCTCCTCACCATCAGACTGCAGTTCTGAGGAGACAGCAGGCTCTGAGCAAATTCAAAACTATCTGGGGTTGCCATCCAGTGTATTGGGCTTTTTAGCATCTTAATTTTCTGCTGTTTCTTACTGCTTACAACAGGGACACATTTTGCCAGTACCATGATCCCTACAATTCTCAGCTTGGACTTAGTGTACTAAAGATGAACAAAGGGATTTAGTATTTCTATTTTTGACATGCTGAAGGAGGTTATCCACAGACCTCCTTCAATAAACCTGTTTGTATGTATATATATATATAATGTTTTTAGAGACTTTTATGGTAACAAAAGTGCAAGTAAGTGGGAAGAGTTGCAGTGTTTCTAAAATGTCAGTAATTTTCTTTAATAAGCAGTACTTTGCTCCTGGCTGGGTAGCTCCTATCTGAGACTTTATCTTGGACTAGAGTTTTATTACTGATTTTAAATGGTACAGGACTGGAAAGTCTTAACAGTGTCTTAAGTCCCCATGGTGGCACTACTTGGGACAGCTGTGCACATTTATGTATTTAAAGTGTTCCCAAGCAAAACTTTAGAGCCTGTAAAAGCTACATGGCTTCATAATTTAATAAAGTTTTATAAAGGTCATAAAAGATTAGGCAGAAGTTCATCTCTTACAGTCAGTCTATGAAACACTTTTTCTGTGGAGTATTCATGGTGTGGTTATTAATAGGAGGTAGATGAGCCAGTTTAGCTTACTGCAAAAACATCTTTCCATAGTAGTTAAAATGTTTTTGCAACACTGGATGCCTGATAAATTCATATTTTAAAAGCAATTTTACTATCCCATCATAGTATAATCTCTCTAGTATTTCTCGTAATCCCTGCATAGCTTTATGCTACATGTGAAAATGGTCTGCAGATTGCAAATTGAGGTGAAATCTGTTCTGTGTTGCATATGAAGTTAGGATTTTTTGTGTTTATGCTAGTGTCATAGAAAGTCATGATTCAAGACAAGTTTATTCTTCTTACTCTTCACTAACAGTGTCAGAACTTGAAGGTGATGTGTGGCAGAGCCATTTCATTGTTCCCTGTATCCAGGTGGGCACTGAGACTAAAATCTCACCTAGAGCCTGGGCACGATCCTGGGAATTGTGTGCAGCTTGTCTGCCTAGAGCAGGCACTAAGCGTTCATTTCCCAACTTCAAAAGCCATTTCACTGTTACATCATGGTTAACCTCCTCTCTTAGCCAATTTTCAAAAAAGAAAATAGCATCTCTGGCTTAGCTCATTAAAAGGCACAGGGCATGTCTGTGGGCTAGAGATCCCAGGAAGCAGGAGGCTTTGGTGGTTTAAACTCTAAGAAGGTATCAGATGTATCTGCTTGAAGTGCAGCTGTGCTCTTTTGTACTGGTTAATGTGTTTTATACTGGTTGGCTCTGGGCAGTTTCTGCCCATCAGGCAGGATTTCTAATTCTTTATGTGTTCAGGGAGCATAAGTACTTCACTCCAGCCTCAAAATTTCTTTCGAGAGTTAAATTAATAATATTTAGATCATGAAAATTCATGGAGCATAAGAATCTAGCCTCTGTTGCATGTGTATTAGATTGTGTGAATAGGTGTGAGTGTGAGACCTGTGTTCAAACCTGTGCTGATACCTAGGCTTTGAACAGTCTAGTCCTTGGTTACTTTAAAGACTGCCTTCCTCTGCAGCTGAGATGGGTTAGAAGGTGTTTGCTTTTGCGTGGTGTGTTTGAGTTTTCTGTAGAGAAAGATTCCTTTATTGAATTAATTTCCCTGGGAATTCTTTAAAGAATCTTTCATCCTTGGGAAAAGAAGACAGGCACAGTTCCTTGATAGAGTGAACAAGAATGATTTTCAGGTTTTTATTTAAAGAAAGGAAATTATTCTAACTTTGAGAGTAGATCATCCTCCTGAAGCATGATGTACTGTGGTGTAGCTTTTATTCTGACCATTTTGTCTGTAAGTTTTAGATCGCTATAATTATTTTAACTCAAAAAATACCCCAATAAGAAATGTTTGGTTCTGTGATTCCTATCCTGAAAGTATATCAGTTAGGTGAAACTTATATCATCATACCTAAGAGGAATTCCACAGCATCCCTGTTGCCACATGGGAAATAAATTCTTCCCCTTTTGTCTCAGTGCAATGACTGCATGACCACACACTGCTTCAGAAATCTGTGCTCCCTTGTTCTCAGAGCCTCTGAAGTGTTGTGTTTGACTGAATTGAGCAGCTGCTGTTTTCTGAGATGCCAGCTTGATTAGATGTAATATATATATTCATACATACACACGATGTCAGTAATTTATTTGATTTTCCTGTTTTTGATCAGAAGTCAGTCTACTTACCTAATTGTCCTGTAAAGCCTCTGTATTGGGAGACCTCTTGTGCCCCCTTTTCTTTGCCATGTCCTGGTTGGCAGAGGTGAGGGAATCAAGACTTAATCAAGATCATTCAGCAAGAAAATGAGTCAGAATCAGAATAGAGCTTATTGTACTTCAGCTTTCCTGTCTCTGCTCACAGCTGAATAGGTGAATAGCTCTGTTTTGAAGACCAGCAGGAAAATGATGCAATTTACTAGCTGATGCAGAGGTGAGCTGGGATCCATCAGGTGCAGCTGAGATCCAGTGGATCCTTGCAGCTGGCATGGAGCAGTCTGGGATGAGGCCTAGCATGCTGCTGTACTTTCTAGGGTGGGTGGGTGTCCAAAAAAGCTCACAATTCTCTTTTCCTTTCCAATTCAGACACAGAATATATTTGTGCATCCATGCATGGGATTTTCTTTTAATTTAGGGGAAGGCTCCCTTGATAGTATTCTGAGTGAAAAAGAGGAAAATAGTAAGACAGGTATTGCACAGATGGAAGAAAATAACCAAGTGGTGCTTTTCATTTTCTGGTGTGAGGTTTGTCACCAGGTGCAGGCTACTACTTACCAAGTGAAAGAATACTTAAAACAACATCAATTGGTCTTACATGGACAGATATTATAAGTTCTATTTGTTTTGAAATATAAGAGAAGGAAATTTTACAGATCTTGTATTCATGAAGAGTCTAGCAATAAGGAGACAAAAGTTTTCAAGATTGGTCTTGGAAATGATAAATAAAACTATAACTTTTTAGCACCTTAATAGTCTTCTGCTGTGCTTCAGTATAGCAGGCACACTTAGGATCTTGAGAACTACAGGTTTGCATTCTTTATTTTGTCTCTTTTAGTCATCACTTTCTGTTCAGTCTGTATTAGTAGGAGAAGAACAATTTGGCTGCTAACTTGCTAGTTTAGGGTTTCAAAGGGCCTTATTAGAAACTGGTGTAATTTCATCCCCTGGCCCTTTTATATAACAGCCTGCATATTTAGATTACTTCATTTTAACCTAGAATTAAACAATAGATTGCAGTGCTGTAGGACAGGACACTAGCAGATGTGAAGCTAAACCTGAATGAACAGGTTTTTATTTTTGTGACATTTGGACAATCATCTCCCTTGTGCCCTGGGTAAGTTATTTGTTTTTTATCAGATTGTACAGACTGTTATATCTGTTACTTGCATTTATGGCCCACTTGCAGATGGACTATCCTTGACAACCTTTTTTGGAAAGTGTTGTTTCCCCGTTTTTGTTGTGTTTTAATGTGTGAAGCTGTCAGATGTGATCCCTTTGCAGATCAGTTTTCAGCTGCAGCTACTTCTGTTGCACAAGCCCTGTGTCTGCAGCATTTAATCTTCCTCACATCTGGGGTGGGCAGCCTGTGAGCACTTTGGCTGGAGCTCATTGCAGAGAAATAAAAATTAGTTTTAACTCTTTATCTGAATTTTAAAATGCTTTCACTGTTCTGCATTGCAGCATAGCATGTTGTAGTTCTTATCTCTGTTAAATCAGTATTTGTAGGACTTGGAATATTACAGGTAATTCATCTTCTCAGGTTAGTGATGTTGCTTGAAAGAGATATCTGGAAGTCATCTGGTCTAGCTGCTGGTCATAAAATGCTGGCAGCATGCACAAATACTTCAGTTATGAAAGCAAGGAACATTTAAGATAGGTAAGTGAAGAAATTACAGATGTAGTAAGAAAAAAATACTTTTCTTAATGAGTGATTATTTGCTTTTAATTAAAATCAGTCATTGAAGAAAAATGCCATAACTTCAACTCAGCTGTAAGAGATAGTAAGAGAAAACCAGGCTGTCTTTTTTAAGGTTTATTTCAGAATATTTTTTGAGAATTGTTTAGGTATTTTACTACCTCCTTTCTACAGACACAGTAACTGACACAGAGAGGTGTTTTGCCATAAAGGATCCAAAATTATCACCCATTTTGAATTACAGTAGATAAATAAAATGTATTACCATATTTCCTTATCTCTCATCTAACAGGAATTTGAGGTAGAAACATCAATGTTGCTCTCTCTCA